GGAATCCGTGGAGAGCCTTGGCGGATTGCGGTCTGGGCCATTCCTTGATTGCCTGAATCTTGGAATCATCCACAGTGACCCCTTGCCCGCTGATCACATGTCTTAAGTAAAGGACCCGTCGTTCCCCAAAGGAGCATTTGGATCGCTTAAGGAAGAGTTGGTGTTGTCGCAGGAGTTCAAAAACGATTCGTAGATGCTGCACATGTTCTACCCACGACTTGCTATAGACTAGGATGTCGTCAAAGAATACCAAGACAAATCTGCGGAGGTGGGAGTGAAACACTTTGTTCATCAGGGACTGGAACGTGGAAGGAGCGTTGCTGAGGCCGAATGGCGTGACTAGGAACTCAAAATGGCCATGATGTGTCCTGAAGGCCGTTTTCTCTATATCTTCGGGAGTCATCCGGACCTAGAAGAAACCTGACCGGAGGTCTAATTTTGAGAAGTATTGGGCGCCATGGAGTTCGTCCAACAGCTCATCTACGATGGGGATAGGAAATTTATCCTTGACCGTTCGACTGTTAAGCTCTCTGTAGTCCACACAAAATCTCTAAGTCCCATCCTGCTTGGGTACCAACAGAACCGAAGAGGAAAAAGGGGAGCGGCTGGGACGGATGATCCCTTGCTGTAACATATCCGCACACTGCCTCTCTATTTCATCCTTTTGTCGGTGTGGGTAGCGATAGGGTCGGACGGCGACGGGATCCGATCCGGCTATCAGAGGGATCCGATGATCGCAGGCTCTGGAAGGTGGAAGCTCCTTGGGTTCTTGGAATACTGCAGAAAAATCCGTGAGAAGCCTCTCCATATTTGTGGTGCGCAAGTTCTCACCTTGAAGTGTATGCAACTGCGCCTTTGATCTTATCCTRGTTCCCTGCCATGTAACTGGTTTTCCGTCCAGCTGGAATGTCATAGTCAGGGTGCTGAAATCCCATAGGGTTGGCCCTAGAGTGATCAGCCATTTGACTCCTAAGACGATGTCGAATTCATCCAAGGAGAATATGAATAAATCAGCAAGGAAAGATTCTGATCCGACCTGAATCTTGGTGTCCTTGCAGATTCCGGGGCTGTGAACTCTTTCCCCGTTTGCCATGGCTACCTGTAACTGCGGCCTGATTTCCATCGGTAGTTCTAACTGGCGGGCAGCTTGTTCACTGACAAAGTTGTGGGTGCTGCCGGAGTCTATGAGAATGCGTATCGGTTTCCCTGCTACCAACGTCCTTAGTTGCATGGTTTGTGAGGTTTTGATCCCTGTGATTGCATGGAGGGAGATCTTGGAGTCTGATGCTGCAGGTTCATCCTCATCCTCTTCGGGTTCGTCTACTAGAAGACATAATAGCTTCTTGCACCTATGCCCGGAGGAGTACAGATCATCGCAGTTGAAGCATTGCCTTCTTGCGCGCCGTTCTGCCATCTTGGCTCGGGATAGTCGTCTAATAGGGGGTTTGTCTTGCTACTCCCTATACTTGATGCCGATCTGGAAGGGTTACCGGTAGGAAGCCTCGGTTCCCTGCTGGCGGTTGAAGGAGGCACTCCTACTGCCTTCGAAGGAGCCCAGGTCGTTGTTGGCCGACACTGAGGGTTCCGTGGGTGAGCTGCAGTTTCCGTTCGAAGGCGCGTGCGGGGTTCATCGCTGTGACCAGGTTGGGAGGGTGTTGCATCTCCACGTCCACCCTTAGGGGTTCTGCTAGCTCCGCGGTGAACATATCGACTTGCTGATCTGCGCGAACCGAGGTTGCTCTGGCGAGAAGGGTTTGGAACTGGCATTGGTATTATGCCACGGTTCCAATTTGCTTGAGGTTAATTAACTCGCCCAACGGGTTGCTTGTCAACAGGGGTCCAAACCTGAGGAGGCAATAGGATTTAAATTGACCTCAACTGAGCCCGGGTTCTTCCTGCTCCAGATGGTAGAACCAGAGCTATGCCTCTTCCGATAGGTGGAAAGCGGCCAGATTGACCATGTCTTTGTCATCATTGCGTTGATTACGGAAGAACTGTTCGCAGCGATACAACCATCCTAACGGGTCTCCGGTGCCGTTGTAAGACATAAATTCTAGCCGACTATACTTGGGAATAACTGCGGCTGTCGGGGCAGCGATCTGCTGTTCGCTGGACGTCTCTGCCTAGTCCGGACGACGACTGTTGGTGGTGGCGGTTCCCTTGGAGTTTCTTTCTTTGTTGGAGAGGAACGTTTCCAACAAGTGTCGCAGCTCCCGGACATCATCCTTGACTTCACGAACCTCCATGCTGGTTTCTGCGAGCCTATGCTCCAGGAAGAACTATTCGCAGCGATACAACCATCCTAACGGGTCTCCGGTGCCGTTGTAAGACAAATTCTAGCCGACTATACTTGGGAATAACTGCGGCTGTCGGGGCAGCGATCTGTTGTTCGCTGGACGTCTCTGCCTAGTCCGGATGGCGACTGTTGGTGGTGGCGGTTCCCTCGGAGTTTCTTTCTTTGTTGGAGAGGAACGTTTCCAGCAGGTGTCACAGCTCCCGGACATCATCCTTGACTTCACGAACCTCCATGCTGGTTTCTGCGAGCCTATGCTCCAGTTCCTGGACCCTGGGTGGCAGCGGCTCCTGATCCCCCATGACGGTAGGCTCTGATACCAGAATGTTATGGGCCCGGGCGTAGGATCTCGTCACGGGTCGGTCCACGGGGAGAACCTCTTGCTTCCCCTTGCGCCTTCCCTTGCGTGCAGACCYTATTGTGGCAACCGAATGGGTGATTTGTCCAAGAGACCACCCGAACTCTCCTCACTCTTCTCTTAACTGGAAAACTGAATGCCTTTATTATTCCAATTCACAACTCTTTAAATAGGAGATTACATGAGGTGACTCTTTATTCCATTCGGCTAAGCTAGGGCAATCCAACTTTAAATCAAACTCCTACTTCTAATAGGTAAACAGACTCCTACTAAGAACAAAACTTAACTCCTATCTCTAATAGATAAGAACAGAACTAGATAAAGTAAGCTAATGGAGAGCTGGTAGGATAAGCTGACGTGGCAAGATAAGTTGCTGTATGGGCCCTCCTCACTGCTGTTGCCAGCGGCGGCGGTATGTCCTTCCTACGAATGCATCCATAACAGATGCATAGATATCATACAATTTTATTGATAATGTATCAATCAAGAGTCCAAAATGCAAAACATATTTTCCTATTATATTTTAATTATTATATCAATTATTTTCGATTTTACTATTTTTACTTCTTTACATTAACAAAGAGGTCAACCAAATATTAAATTCTCTATGTAAATTAAAATATCCATTAATAATTTATAAAATTTATAATCTCAACTTAAAATATATCAAATCTATTAAAATTGCTAAGATAAATATCATATGCAAATTCATAATTTTTAACTTTTAAAATGATTATTCCATTATTATATTTTTATTCCTATAATTTTCTAATTAAAAATATTTTTTTGTTATAAATGTAGATTGGTAGATTTGATAGATTCAATTTAAGATTATATTCTTGAATATTTTGTAAACAGTGGTTTTATTTTCTAAAAAGTAAATATGATTTTATGTAATGTAAATTATCGATATATCATGAGCAAATTTGTAAATTTTAAGTACTAAAATAATTATTCCCTTATTAATATTATATTTTTATAATTTTTTTTGATATTCAAATAATATTTTTATATAAATGTGGATTTGATATATTATTTATTTCTATTATTTTATAAAATTATTATTTGAAATATTACTTTTTTAATTTTTAGTTAAAGCTAACCGTAATATGTACTATTTATTTGAATTGCATTTAAGTAATAATGTAATAAAATTTTTATTCATTTAATTATGGTCACAAAACTTGGAATGGCGTAGTGGCTTATGGGTGCGGATGTTAGGCTCTCTGTTAATTCTTGACGTGGGTTCGAATCCTTGCAACAGTTTTTTTAGTAGAACATGCACGTGCGTTCGTGTGTCGCGATAGCATATCGTACTGTATTGGTCCGTATCGATGTGTATCAGCCGATATAGTTCGATATGGACCGATACACGCTTTTATCGGTTCGATACGCACGACTGGTAGGATACTTCTCCAGTCGTAGCGTATCCCATATCGGACACTCGTATCGGACATATCATATCGATATTTCAATCCTTGTTGAAAACTAACAATTTCAAATAACTTTTTCCATCAATTTAATCCATTCTTCTAAGAAACCAAGAGATCTTAGGAGTTGCAGCTTTCTTGAGAAAATGCTATCCCATGCAGTCACATGCCTTGGCCATATCCAATTTGATTGCCACATTATTTTACATCTTCATGCCAATATCTTGGGTAGCTTCTTGGGCTAGTATATCATTCTCAGTAATCTTCTGACCCTAACAAATGCATTTTGCTCTTAAGAGATGATCTGTGAAAGGGACGCCCTAAATCTATTCACCATGATTTTGAAACAATCTTATACAAAAGATTGTACAAGATTATTGGCTTGTATTCCAAGAATAGCAAGAGGTTCTCATTCTAGGGAATCAAAATAATGAAGTACTTATCAGAAAAAAAATTGAAGTAGTATCTAGGCAAATCAATCACCAAGAAAAAAATAGTGGATGGCCTCAATAAAATCCATGCAAAGGACATTCCAAAATGAATTAAGAGCAGGGCTGGATGGCTGTCAGGACATGTTGCTCTGTCTCTGGGTAGGGTAAAAACAACATCCTTATCCCTTCTGCTTATGGATGGACCTATAACATTGAGTGTCTTCAATGAATATCATTTGTTCAGCTTCTTTTCTGGTGTGCCCGAAATTTGTTTCTGGTATATTACATTATGCCATGTTTACTACCCCTTGTGTGCTTTATTGAGCATGTAAACTCATACTCCATATCCTTTTGGGTTATAATATTAACATCTGCTTAATTTTTGTAGTCTTTTTAAGATTGCTGATTGATGCCTCTGGTCAAGTTTGATGCCTAATGTATTGTACTTCATCTAAACCTTAACATTTGATATCTTTTGTTCTTGGCAGATCAAAAAGTCAATTACAGTTGGTGTTATTGGACTTCCTAATGTTGGCAAGAGTAGTTTGATTAATAGCTTGAAGAGATGTCATGTTGTCAATGTTGGTGCTACTCCAGGATTAACAAGATCAATGCAAGAAGTACAGTTAGATAAGAGTGTGAAATTGCTGGACTGTCCTGGGGTTGTAATGCTGAAGTCTGCAGAGAATGATGCATCTATAGGTCTTCGTAATTGCAAAAGAATTGAGAAACTAGATGATCCTATTGGTCCTGGTAATATCACATGTTTATCTTTAATATAGGTCTTCGTAATTGCAAAAGAATTGAGAAACTAGATGATCCTATTGGTCCTGGTAATATCACATGTTTATCTTTAATATCCCTATTCATGCATATTTGTCTCAGGAAACTGATAACTCCTTTGATAACTGAAAAAAGAAGTTATGATAGGGAACCGGAAACAATTAAACATACCATACTTGGTCCAGTTGTATTTTGACATTTTTGACATAAGCGTTGATTCTGCTGGCAATTTCTTACGAAACTCTGTTTCTTACTGCTGTAATAATGTTTGATATATTGCTTTCTCATCATTTCAGTCACTTGTTTAATAAACTACTTTCTTCCAATGGATCAGTTGCCTAAAATCTTAATACATGCATCCTACTTCCAATCAGTCCATTATTTTGACTGGAAGTTCCCTTATTCTTTTTAATGCTGTCATTATACTATTATTTGGAGTCATTTCACAGCTTTGTAATTTTAATTGTATTATTTTCCCTTATTCTTTAGAGTATGTTGCAGATTTGTAGGTTAAATTCTGTTTCCTTAAGATTGTCAGTTTTATTGAGTCCATAGGAAAACAGTTGGGAAAGCTGTTGTAAACTTGTGATTGTGCTCAAAGTTTAGATCCTTGTGAATTCCAACTGTTAGTGGTGATATCAGAGCAGAGGTGAACCAAATTGTTGTAGTGCCGAACTCTATAAGCTTCTAACTGTATAGGTAGGTTGGGAGGAACCTAAGAAAGTGGTGAAGTCCATTTGGTTATTTCTGTTAAAGATGGAGTTGAAAAAAAATCTAGGGTATTATTTAATGGTGTTTTGAAACAAAACCAATTTGTTTTTGCTTCACAAAACAGAAGTACAGTTCTAGAACATTTTTTTTTTGCTGATGTGGTGATTTCAAGAACAAATAAATAAAAACATTATTGTTGTAGAACACCTAAAACCATTCATTTTGCAAACTTAGTTGTTTTGTGAGTTTGATCACAGTTAAACTTAGGCAGGGAGTAATATATTATAATGGTTGGTTCACTTTGCAGTGAAAGAAATTCTTAAGCTTTGCCCTGCCAAAACATTGATAACAATATACAAGCTTCAAAACTTTGATACAGTGGATGACTTCCTACAGAAGGTAGCTACTGTTAGAGGTAAGCTCAAGAAGGGTGGTGCTGTTGATGTTGAAGCTGCTGCAAGAATAGTTCTCCGTGACTGGAATGAGGGTATGTATATTTCGAGGATTTACTTCTCATTATATGTTGTGTGCAAAGAAAGTGAAAAAGGGAAATAAGAATTATGTGAACACTTGCATAAAAGTGATATAGTTTATGTTTAATGTGTTTCAGGTAAAATTCCATATTATACAATGCCTCCAACTAGGAATCAAGGGGAGAATTTTGAGGCAGCTATTGTATCAGAGCTTGGGAAAGAGTTCAATGTTGATGAAGTTTACAAGGGTGAAACATCATTCATTGGAAGCCTCAAATCTGTAGAGGATTTCCATCCTGTTGAAATTCCTCCAAGTTGTCCTTTAAATTTTGATGAGAAGATGCAAGAAGTTTGCTCTCCAGCTCATTTTAATGTATGGAAAACTTCTATGCATCATTCCCATTGTTTTATGACACTAGGAGCTGTCCACCCAAATATGCAGTTGACATCACTGTTCAATTTGTACCGACTGCATTTCACATTCCATGCACTTGGATATGCACCTAATTTTATGTAGTTTGAGCACTTCTCTCATTTCACGTATATGCTTTTAATTTTGAATGAGGGTGAATCTCATAAAATATGAAACAAAATTTACTGTTTTTTAAACTCTACTTTGTGCTATCAATTATTGTGTTCACTAAAACCTATTCTCCCTCAGGATGATGTACAACCTGAAGTGTTAATTCTAGGGGATGCCCAACCCAGGGAAATGACTGAAGATGATGGCGATCAACCCATGGGATGTGATGAAGATGATGCAGGAAAGACCAAAGGCAAGACTGTCAATAGCAGGCAAACTGAAAAATTATATGCAGCAAAAGGGATATTGAATACAAGGCTTCTTAAGGCAGAGAAGAAGAAACGGAAGAAAGCTAAGAAAGGATCTGGAACAGACATGGATGCCGACTACGATTTTAAGGTGGATTATGCTAAGAGAGGATCCACAATGGATGTTGGTGATGAAAGTGGAGAGGGTGAAGATGGTGATAAAATCAGCGCTGAGGTGCCCATGGCTGGTATCGTGTTTGATGAGTGAGGATAACATGATTAGGTTATGATGGCACCTCATTCTGCAAATTATTGTACAATACTTGCGCTTTGGGGCTTCCTCATTGGTTGTCCCTCCTTATAAATATATACAAAATAATATAAAATATAAGATTTTGCGCTCTACATATTTGTATTTGTACTCCTTCCAAATGGAGCCTTATTGACAAATGAATAGATGTTTTTTGTTCAAGAAGAGTGGACCTTGCGAGTAATTTCAACGGGTTTGTAGAACCCAAAATTTTGTGGTTTGTTATCTTTTCCTCCCTAGAAGTGGTTGACTTAAAATTTTATATAGGGTAAAATACAAAAACCTCCTTTAAAGTTTTTGACAATCATAAAAGCCTCCCTTATGGTTTCACTTGAGCAAAAGGCTGAAGTCAAACTCCCCACTGTTCCCCTATCTTTAAACCGTGAATAGTTCAACGTGCTTGAACCCTTCCAAGTAATTAAATGATATAACATTTCCCCCCTTAAACTCTAAGAATTCCTAAAAGACACCCTCTATTCTCATAATTGGAACCCCTCTTAAACCTTCTTAGAACCCCAATTTGATCTAGATCAACCCTGAACCTTGTCCTTAAACCCCACCCCTTGGATGGGCATCTTGATAGATTTTCTTGCTCCCCCTCACCATTATAAAGAGAGGGAGCATTGTTCCCAAGGGTGGAAGGAGGGAGGGTATTCGTCTTTCGAAGGGCTTTGAGAGGCGTGAGAGGGCTTCGAGAGAGAGAAGAGAGAGATATTTGACAGAGGGCCTTGGGGAGGAAGAGAGAAAGAGATGAAAGAGGGTTTTGTTGAAGAAAAAAAAAAGGAGGGAAGATGAGGTGAAAGCAGTTACAAACAAGAAGGAAGCATAGTTTAAAGGTTCAATCCTGTCTTTCTTGGGAAGCTTCAGAAGAGCGTCCTGGTGTTTGAAGCATTCAGCAATGGAGCATCCTTGATTTGTATCGTCTTCTCCTTTTCTTCCACCGATGGTTCAGACCCCATCATTTTCTTGTTAGAAGCACAATTGAAACATTATTTGAAATCCATTTTTCAATAGAGATCGAATCCCTATATTCTAATGCAACATTGTTATTTCATTCAAGGTTACAAGAGTAAAAACCGATTACATCATATCCCCAAGTTTCTATCCAAACCTGATCCAATATTTAGAATATATCCTAGTTTTGCTTTGGTTGTTTGTCTATTTATTTCATTATTTTGTGATTCTCTGTAATTTTCCCTTGTAGCTTAATCTTTCTATTCTGTCTTGCATTCAAGTTTGAACACAAGAATCTGTGCATTTTCTAAGAGTTTGAGAGGTTTGTGCTTCCTCTCTCTTCAAACCATTCAGTTGAGCCCGAGGGTGAGGGCTTTAGTAGAAAAGGGGTGAGGGAGCCATCTCTCACTCTTTTGCTTAGGCCCCTACATCCAAAAGGGGATTGGTCTAGGAGTACAGAAGGGAGTGCCCTTTCAAGCTACTGGAGGATCCGAGTCTCCAATCTGGATTTAAATTAAAGAGGGAAATCTAGTATTCACACTAACAAGAGAGAGGGGTGCCTAACCCCTTCCCTCTCTCTCTCTCTCTCTCTCTCAACTTACCCAGATTGTCCTTGTCCTAGTTGAATGATGTGGAGTCACTGTTAATTCCAAACGTTTTGTGAAATTTAAACTCGAGAGACCCATCACTCCCGGTTATCTATTTCTAATGGGTGGTAACTCCATCTACTTGGTCTTGAAGTGAATAGTCGGGTTTTATTGATGTTCACATAGAGTAAGAGGAATGTGATGATGAGAAACTCAAGCTTTGAGCAATCAGCTATGGTCAGGACAGTAAAATCTAAGTCGGGTGGGGATAAAGGAATGTGAAGATGACTTATTCTATTATTACTGTTAAAATTCCAAGAATACTAGAAATACCTGTTGGAAGCTTTACCCACACCTTATACTACGTTGGCTTAGAACTAAGAAGGGGAATGCTAATATGGTAGTGGCTGGTGATTCATTAGGGTCACTTACTACAACTTCTTTGGAGTCTATTGCAGCAGTCATAGTTAGGGCCGAGTTGGAGAGATATGGACAATTCTGAGACAGAGAGATGCAATTAGTTCTAGCTCATCCTCAGGTGGACACCAAAATGCAGTTGGATTAGGAGGTAATCATTCTACATCAATTTCACATAAAAGATAGTTCACATTCCACCACAAATTATGCCTTCACTATAGGTAAAGGGGGACTTCTCTAGATTATAGCAGGAGCCTCAAAACACATGGCCAATATTTTCACTATTTTCTCCTCATACCAGCTTTACTCTAGTAAAGATAGAGTTTTTACAACTGATGAACCCTACGTTCCCATTGTTGGGAAGAGATCTATCAAGATAACTAATACCATTACCCTGCCATCTATACACCATGTCCCTAGACTGAGCACTAATCTTTTATCTGTTAGTAGTTTGACAAAGAATTTGAATTATTTAGTAATTTTTTTCTGGTAATTGTGTTTTGTAGGATCTAGAATAAAAAAAGGACGTTTGAGAGTGGTTATGAGATGAATGGAATCTACCTTTTTGATATGCTTCTTAGTCATTAGAGTCATGCATCATGTCAACAAGGACAATGAGTCAGAGTCAGTTGGTCAAATTATGCTTTGGCATAATCAGTTAGGGCATTTATCTTTTGCTTCTTTGCATTTTTTTGTTTCCAAAGTTGTTTGAGTTTGTTAGGTTGTCTAGTTTAGAGTGTGAGGATTGTCAACTTGAAAAACATTGTAGACATTCTTTTAAAGCAAGCAATAGAAGATGTTCTTTAGTTTTTGACGTTGTTCATACTGATATGTGAGGACCATATCATATTCCTTCTATGGGTGGTTATTGTTATTTTCTCTTTTTTTGGGTGATCATTCTCGATACTCTTGGATATGTTTGATGAGATCTCATGATGAGGTTTCTTCTTTTGTACAACAATTTCGTCAGATGGTGCTAACAAAATTTAGAATACGAGTGAAGGTATTTAGATCAGATAATGCCAGGAATACATTGAGAAAAACTTAGCATCATACTTATTGGAGCATAGAGTAGTCCACAAAAGCAGTTGTAGATACACTCTATAATAGAATGGCACAACAAAAAGGAAGAATAGACATTGTAGAAGTAGCAAGAAGTATGATGGTGAGTTTTGCAGTTGTAGTTCATTTTTGGGGTGATGTAGTCCTTACAACAATCTTTTTCATCAATTGGGGTACCTTCTCTTGTTATTATATTCACTACTTCGTTCAACCTCCTTTTTCTTGAGGGGGAGATGTTCCATCTTTCTTTGAGGATATTTGAATGCTTTGTCCATATTCTTGGTCCTTACCACTCCAAGTTGGATTCTAAGGCAAAGAAGTGTGTTTTCCTTAGGTATTTAGGAAATCAGAATGATTATTGTTGTTTTGACCCAGTTTCAGGGAGTTGGTATGTCACTATGGATGTCACATTTTTTGAATCCACATCTTTTTTCTCGGGGAGTTCTTCTCAAGGGGAGTGTTTTGGGGAAGGAAGTGAGAAATCTACACTTCTTGTTCTAGCTCCATTGTTCACTCTAATGTTTGATCCACCTACTCCACCACCCAATCTACCAGTTCTATTATGTTTTTCCTTTCAATGTTTTACACGGCAGTGCCTATGACAACATAGGGAGGTTGATTCCACAATAGAGGAACCCACACTACTCCCTATCAGCTCATTAGAGATTCTAGGTTCAATTGACATAGACCTAGGTATCCCTCTTGCTCTTTTTGATGATTCAGTTCCTATTGATACTATTACCCCTATCCTAACACTGTTACAGATGACCTAGACCTTCATATTGCAATCTACAGGGGGAAGAGAAAGTGTATAGTCCATTGCATCTCACATCACATTTCCTACAATGAGCTATCTCCCTCCTACTAGGTCTTCCTTTTCTTCCTTGACTTTGTGTCTATACCTATTAGTGTTAGTGAGGCTCTCTCCAAACCTGAGTGGAAGACAACAAAGTAGGAGGGAATGAAAGCATTGATTAAAAATCAGACATAGGAGTTGGTGGATTTACCTAATGACAACGATACTGTTGAATGCTGATAGATTTGTAAAAGTGTACGCCCAGACTTTGTTAGACAGTTTTGTATGCCCTTAGCTTCAATCCGATTTGATGTACTTTTGTTATTTAKTGTAAATAAATAAAGTGCATGTTTGATTCATGTTGTTTGGTATGATTCTGTGTAAGACACTAAAACT